GAAAAAACCGTAACCTCTGTTGAACTGTACCTTGTTTTGAAAAGCCATTACAACTTAACAAGAGGAGAAGACTCACAGCGAAGAGCTTCATGAGCGTGTCGTCCTGTTCCCGCTGCACGTCTGCACGCGCGTGGTCATCCACCTCCCAGCCCTGCGAGCTCAGGAACTGGAAGTGCCCGCTGAACAACCGGCTTCTGATGAAGCTCTCCTACAGGAAACAAACAGACAAAAAGAAAGTAATGAGCACAGTCAGGGCTTGTGCAAAAAAAAAAATTGTGCAAAGACCTAAAGATCCTCAGGCTGTTTCATAAACTTGCAGCACACGTAGAGCATCAAGAAAAACAAGCCAGGTGTAGCGCTCACCTCTAGCTGACTCTTGTCCGTGTTCAGCTCACACAGCGGGACCTGGAAGGGCAGCACCGTGACAGCAGGGCGGGGCAGCACAGGTGGGAACGTGGAGCCTTTACATGGGATACACCTGGGCACAGGTGGTCATAAAAGTGATGTTAGTCCATGTTTTAAACACAGTAACGTTAAATAGACAAAATATACTGAGGTTCTTCTCTTACATGAGTGCAAAATTAACACTGTCTACTGGTTACTGATGCAGTTCGTGCGAGGTCTGATAGGTGTCATTCCTATACTTTAAGGATCATCCTACAGGAGGCATACAGAAAAGACGAATACCTGAGTTGTTGCGGATTCTCGTTGACTCCAACCAGCCAGTAGTTGTCTGATTTACCCTTGCACTGTGTGGAGAGGTAAACAGAAAGGAGATAAACCTGTAACTGGGGACCATAGCCCAAAAATAACTTTTTAGGCTATGGTCATTTCTTCCCCAAGATAAACCCCAACATTTGAAATACAGATTCTACCCCCTCTGGTCCCCAATGTAGTACATTGTACACAGAAGAAACTGCCAGAAGGACTGAGAGCCAGGAATATAGTAAGAAGAAGGCAGCTTAGCAGTAGTAGTCAATATGGACAGGTGCCGTGGTTACTTTATAAAAGAAGCTGGTCATACAAGTACTACTTGGTCAATCTAAGGGACCACCAAATCATGGTCACAATGCCAAGTTGGTCCAAAGGTGGTCACTGGGTACAGGCTTCACTGTATCTAAAAACAGAAAGTTGTTCTCCATACGTGACTTCTAGTATTGGCGACAGGAGTCCAGCTGCAGCCCAGGCCTCTGTTCATCATCCTCACCACGCCCGAGGAGTCATAGGTCACCGGCGTGCCCTCAGCACTGAACCTGCAGAATAGGAGAACAGGCCATATTCATGTGCACACACATTCATGTACAACACTCTCATACAGATGCATACACTCACACACATACACAGAAATAAACTACAATTGTAGTCCAAAATTTGTTCTCTTATCTAGAACTATTGAAGAATAGACCTCCATAAGTATGGTAAAGGCCTGTGAATGCAAGTTGTAGTATAGCCATATAGCCAGTTTGACCCTACCCTATCCATGTGAGGGTGGATTTTGGGTTGATGGGGAGATGTCCCTCCATCACCTTCCTCCTCCTCTTGCCCATCACCTCCAGCAGCTGGGCGCCTAGCAACTGGTCTCCTGGGATACCTGGGCATGATAGATGGAGGGATACAGGGATCTAATTATATTTTGATACCTCATTTGTAGGAATTTTCTCAAAATTGACCCTTCTGATCAAATTTTTCATATTTACTGGGTATGCTTTACATCCTGCTGAAGTTGGATGTACTGTGTATCTATCTATGTGGCACCAAAAGAACAGCAAACAAACAAACAAACCTGTGCCCATGTGGTACACCACCAACAGCTGTGTTCCATAGGCTGCCATGGAAACCACTGGGCCGGGGATGCTGATTACGTCCTTCTGTATCCCGGCAACCGTCCAAACACGGACCAGCCTATTGTCTGTCGCCACGGAAACCCAGCCCTGACCAATGGCAAGCACCTGGGGGAGACAGTCTTCAATGTAAATTTCTCTTTTGTTGAAGACCACAAAGAAATTCTCCCTTTTTCTGCAGGCCGTTTCTATTGCAGTTTGGAAAGCTGGAGCAGAGGTTCAGGGATTTGACTATGAGAGAACCCACCTGTATGTCTTCTCCATCCGTCATGGCCGTTGTCCACTCTTTGGAGTTGTCCCAGGAGGAGAAGTGAAGACAAACCAGCTTACTGCAGAAATCATAAATATCAGGACAAATCAGCTTACTGTAGAAATCTTAAAAATCATCAAAATAAAAATTGAAAATGTTTCTGCAAAAACCATGACCAACCTAAAACTGTACTGTCCCATTGGCTATATACATCAGTCCACGTAAACTGATTTATCTTGAGGACTCATGGTGCAGTTTTGACAAGAGTGGAAAACATTGTCTGATTCAGATCAGTTTATCAGCTGAGCCCATTAAATTAATGAGATTCCTAGCAATACTGATACATTTTCATGGTTTGTTTCTTCTTTTTTATTCTCTGACTTTGTTTCCCTTTCTATCTCAGACAGCACAGTGATTGTTAATCCTTAAGACCAGCCCAGCCCCACCTTGGTGAGTCGTCTGTTCCCTCGCAGGCGAGCAGCGCGGCCTGGTCGGACAGGGCGGCGAGGGTGTGGTTCAGGTGGTTGGTGACGTGCATGGAGTGGTGCACCGACGTGTCGTGGAACTCGATGTCGATGGAGTTCTCCTCCTCGCTGTTGTAGCACTTCACAACGCCCACCGAGTTCCACACCTTACGGGAAGGGAAATGTGGACAATTAGACTCACACAGCAAGGGAAATGATGTTTCTGAAATGAGTCACTCAAAAAGAGATACAAGCTACATGGGCAAGGGGTTGGTGCCTGGGAAAGTGTATGGGTTAGTACTAAAGTGTTGTACCCACCATGAACCTGTGAGCCAGGCTGACTGGGGTGGAGCCTGGCTGGAAGGCTGGCTGCAGGGGGGTGGGCTTGGGACCCTGGTACACCGGCTGGGGGGGTGCCCGGGACGGCAGTCCTGAGATGCTGTCCACATCATCCAGTACGTCTGATGCTGGCTTCATGGAAATACTGTCTGTACCTAAACAACACAAGACAAGGATCACATCATTATCTATTTGGAATGGCACAACGATATTAAAAAGACAATGTCAAATCTTAAAGCAGCACATTTCTTACCTATAGAAGCATCATCATCATCAAAAATGTTGGCCTTTATACGCTTCCTCTGTGTTGGCACCGGCATGGAGTCATCGTCATCAGGGTCTCCTGGGGCGTTGCCATGGGAACCATTGTCATGGTCACCAGCTGACAAGAGGAAATCATCATCATCTCCGTCAAACATGGCTGCCATGGGGTCGTCTGCTGCATCCGACTTCAGTTGTCGATGGAAACAAAAATTTTTTTTCTGTTAATCAGACAACATTACTTATTACTTATTTATACTATTTTATTTATTGGAAAGTTGTGCAGTAAAAAGATGTGAATTGACCATTTCTTTTTGAAAGTCTGTCTCACCTGTTTGCTGGACGATCCTGGAGCTACGTTTTCTACCAGTCCCAGCTGGCCCTGCAGAAGCAATGAGGAGAGTTAATCATCACAATACTACAACCTTATTGTTGTCTGTACAAAATGAAAACTGCAAAAAAGGTATCAAACTTGGTTCTAATATTTCCCACCCACACAACGAAAGCCACAAGACAACAACAGTGCAAACTTTATTTTATTTCTTGAAAACAGGTGTTAATCTAAAGACTATCCTATTAACCGGTATACACAAAGGGGTACAAGGCAGTAACTATGAGAACATGACTACCTGCACGTCTGTGTAGGCGATCTCAGTGCCATTTGCAGGGTTCCACACCAGCCCACAGATGGTCAGACTCTTGTCATGTTTTACCCTGAAGAGAGGCAGCCATAAAACAGACCTTACAAATAGACAGATGTTACGAACACCACAGGATCCAACACTTCTCAGTACAGGTGTGTTTTGCAGATCAACAGAGAATACACTTAGGAAAACCTTATTCAACTTAAGGCTTGGCTTCAAAGAATAAAATGGTGAGACCTGACATCAGATTGAAATCACAACGTGGTACCAACAATGTTAGCCAGTCTCTTACCTCTCCACACAGTTTTTGCTCAGCACATCCCATACAAGTATGGAGCCATCCACGCAGGCTGCTGACAACAGAACTCCGTTGGGAGACCAGGCTACCAGGGAAATTGGCTGAAACAAGGACACAATCTCTCACAATGGGAACTTTGAGAGATGAGGTCTAGAGAATTATATAACCGTTATGTCCACTTTTCTAAAATGTATGAAACTTAGTTCTGTTGTAGCCACACAAATTACCTGTTCTATTGAGTGATCTGTGAGGGTGATGACTTTTTCCCAAGTGTCCTTTTCAAACACCTGTACCTCCTTCTCCACTGGTACAGCCAGGTACTGCAGACAAACAGGGAGGTTACAATACAAGCAGCATATCTGTCCTCATTAACCTAGTGGGCACCACAAATTTGGAAAAGAAGCAGCATTACTGGAAATGTATAAAAGACAGTATTTAAATCATTAAATGATTGACAATACAATCCTATGATCTGTGCCATGATTAGAATCTTAACTTTTGTTCTGACACAGATTTATTGTATTCCTCACCTTGCCAGTTCTGGGTTGCCATGCCAACCTGCATAGAGTTTTAGCCCCACTGATATCACTGCACTTGGGGAGGAGGTTCCAACTTTTCACTTGGTTCTGAAACAAACAACATGAGTTCACTAGGGGCAAACCTTAACCCTCACCTTCTGTTGTAGCTAAAGAAAAACAAAATCATGTCAAAAATTGAGCTGTAATGTAATTTGTAAAGATACCTTTTCTGTGATGTTCCATATAGCTACTGTTCCGTCACAGCTGGAGGAAGCCTGTCAAGTATACAACACACAGATACAGAATAAGGTAGACATGGGTGATTCAAGAAAGTTCTTGGCCTCACAAAGAACAAAACCCCACTTCGGAGCATCTACATTGTGCTAAAAGCCTTGGACTACCAGTACTTCTTTTTCTTCTATCGTAAGTATTTTTTATGTCATTGTCAGATAAAGCAAAGAATGCTTTCGGGTATGAAAATGTTTTAGATGTTAAAATGGACATAAGGAAGAAAAACGTGTATAGAAGTCCTAACAAAGAGGCACGTAAAACGAATGAACAAACAAACAAAAGACAGACCAGATACTTGTCCTCTTGTTCCACAGCCACACTCAGTACAGGAGCCTGGTGTCCGGTGAACAGGGACTGACCAGTGCTGTCCTCATCCTCCACTTTCAACACTCGGATGTTAAAGTCACTGGAGACAATCAAAAAGTGAAGAGGTAGAACTTCAGGACCTTACTTTATATGGTCTTCACTGTCAATAGTAAGTAGTGACATCGATACAAGCTGCATAACTTGATCACGCTAACACTTATTGCATCTTTAGTTTAATATTTTCTCCATAAGTACCAGCTCACCTGGCACCTGCAGCCAGTAGTTTCCCAGACTCGCTGTAGACCAGGTGAGAGACAGGTGCAGTGAAGCGGGCCAGGATGCCATCAGGTGCACCATCAGACAGGGTGTGAGCCTGGACCGTGTTGGAGTCTGTTCCCGTCAGCAGCCGATTGTCCTGGTGGGATGAGAAAACACAGTGCAGTGATGAATGGTCAGAGACATTCAGCAGTTGTGTTACAGATGAACAGTCATAATCAGATTCAGAGTAACTCACTCATAATTCAGACATTCTAAACAGACAATATTTATCTATTTATACCAGTTTACTGTCTGTATTGATGCCAACATCAGCACCCAACAGTTACCACTGCTTCACGTATCTTGTGCCAGCTTATTGAAAAGCATACCTTATATCTAGAATAATGCGTTAGTAATTTTGAAGGAGACGCCTTTATCCCCACTTGTTCAAGTGTATGTTTACCACATCAGTCATCAGCGCACCTTTGTCGCCACAGCATGGATCTTGTCACCCACAGAGATGGTTTTGGGATCATCATCCTCCAGACCCTCCCAGACTCTCACATCTCCATCAGTACCACAGGTGATCAGGTACCTGCCACAGGTGTCAATCAATCAATCTTTGTAAAGATCTTTTGGGGGGAATCTTTGAAAAGTGTTTGTGAGACAGGTTGTCCATAATATTAATCATCAGGAGTTGATGACTTAATCTTTATGCAAATCTCTTAAAGTATGCATCAACAATACTTCATACCATTGAGATACCACAACATATATTTAGCAGTAATATCTCATGTTTCAAATGCTACATATGTTGTCATAAAAATTATGTGATTTCATTTACCCACATAATTTTCTGAGTATATGCACATAGTCCATGAAAAGCATATTCATAGTGAAAAGCAACTGATCTTATAAAACAGCACTGGTATCTCAACAATCAACTGACAGCGAAACTCTCCCGGGTGCTGTTCCAAACTTACTTCCCGTGCTGTCCGTAGCAGATGTCTGTGTGTCCCTCGCTGTGTGCGTAACGCACCGGTTTCCTGGTGGCTGGCATCGCTCTAATAACGTCACACCAGAAAACAGCAACGTCAATCAGAAAAAAGCATCGATGTTGAAACGCCATACCCTTATCTTCATCTACAGTCCTTTGTCAGTCGATCATTTTCTAAAGCTATATAAAGTCAGTAGTGCGTGTTGACGTATGACTGTGCCCCCCTCCCCACGACATCGTAATTACGAGCAAATGGTTTTCGGTCAAATATGGACGTTAGTTAACTCATGCTTTAGACTTTAACAATCAAAGTAATGCACATTACTATCTAAAGATGTGTGTATGCATGACGTGTCCGTACCTGTTAGGAAACGGTTGTTCAGGAGGGAAACTGCTCTGCACTAAAAGCGACTTCTGACCAGACTCAATCCCTTCGCACTTCCCGCCAAATCCGCCGCACCACGTGATCTAATGCTGGGTTGTACCATTAGATGTCAGGGGCGATCTTAGTAGTGAATCTTCAAGAGTAAGGGACTGTACGATATTTACCGGGGGGGGAGGGCTGGTGCACTGGGGGGGAGGGCCATTGAAAAATTTTTTGGCCTGGGGGGAGGGCCATGGAAAAAAATTTTGAGCCGGGGGAGGCCATCGAAAAAA